TGGCAAATTTGTTCACAGTTCTCAGTTCTTGAAAGGCAGAGGACATTCATTGTAATAGGAATTTCTGTAGGTTTATGCAAACCCTAACTTCAAGAATATACAGGAACAGACAATCTTTTACTTGCCCTATTGTCCAGGCAGTGGCTCCAGTCAGCACAGATTTTATTCTAAGATTCTTAATTCTATGGCTGTCATTGGGCAGACTCATTGTTGTCAGTTCCAAGGACAATTTAAGGCAAATTGGGACCACAGGCCCATCCTTACGTGGATTCCCCAAGGACCAACCCCCATACTGTGGCCCTGTCCCCATGCTGTGGCCTCATCTCACTGTGGGATGCTAGTTGCAGGGGCCAGCTACATGAGCGGTGTGACATGCTGGTACAGGGGCCCACCATCACTTTTATTTGGGTTGGTTGAGGCCTCCTCCCCTCATCCTGAACCACAACTCCCTCTCTTCAGGTGGGCATCATCCGTTCCAGAGGCAGGAAAACTCAGCTCCCACTCACTGAGGGGTGGTGTGTGTGTGTGTGTGTGAGAGAGAGAGAGAGAGAGAATGGAGGCATCACTTGACACCACCCAAGTAAAACCATAATGAGATGACAGGAACAGTCGCCCTTTGTTCCACCAGATTCCCCTGTTGGGATGGTGACAGACCAAATAGCAGCAGATTTCAGCACCAACAACCCATTTAAGATGGGTGAGAGCAGTTCACACCTCTTACATGATTTTAGGCTATCTGCGGAGTCAGGTAGATGTCACTGCCTCAGTTATACTCAGGTCACATTTCCAAGCCTTCCCTCTCAGTCATGAAGGATAGAATGAAACTTAGATGCTGATATCATCACTTGACTTCAAGAATATGCAGGAACAGACAACCTTTTAGCTATCTTATTGTATCGGTTGGTTCAGGTGTTGACTCCACTCACCAAAGATCTGGAGTACAAAGTGCTTGTTGGGCCTTGCCTTAATCTAGCTTCTGGTCAGTTCAACAATGTTTTTGCAGGCGGCTCTCCTAATGAGGGTCTCTGCCTCCGTGGTTCTCTGATGGTCTCTCGATGATCTGTTATTTGGAAACTTGAATGAGTAAAAATGTTCTCAGTGGCTGAGATAGTTTCCCTAAAATTCCACAAGTCACAAAAGTTTTTCTAAAGTTGTGTTTGCGTTCCCTGATTGTATTGCTTGGTTTTTTCCTAACTCCTCTTGTCCTATGATGCTCCAGCCAGTATTTTATTCCACATCACCCTGCTTAAATCTTTCATGTATGAAAAGTTTTTCTAGTCTACTGCCTTCTTTTTGGGGGGTGGAGGATGGTAGTGAGGAGAGGATGGGATTATTTTTGAAATAATTAAAAATAAGAGGTTTAGGAAACATTACCAATGAGAAAAGGTTGAAAGAACTGGGCATGTTTAGAGAAGAGAAGGCTGAGGGGAGACATGATAGAAGTCTTCAAATACATAAAAGATGGTTATAGAACACAAAAATGTCCAAACTGGGTCAGACAAATGGTCCATTGAACCCAGTAAACTGTCTTCTGACAGTGGCCGTTGCCAGATGCTTCAGAGAGAATGAATGGAACAGGGTAATTATCGAGTGATCTATCCCCTGTTGTCCAGTCCTATCTTCTGGGAGTCAGAGCTTTAGGGATACCCAGAGCATGAGGTTGTGTACCTGACCATCCTGGCTAATAGCCATTGATGGACTTATCCTCCATGAATTTATCTAATTCTTTTTTGAACCCAGTTATACATGTGGCCATCACAACATCCCTGGCAATGTGTTCCACAGGTTGACTGTGTTGTCTGAAGGAGTACTTCCTTATGTTTGCCTTAAACATGCTGCCTATTAATTTCATTGGGTGACACCCTGGTTCTTTTGTTATGTGAAGGGGTAAATAACACTTACTTTCTGTACACCATTCATGATTTTATAGATCTCTATTATATCCCCCCTTAGTCACCTCTTTTCTAAATGGAATTGTCCCAGTCTTTTTAATCTCACCTCATATGGAAGTTGTACCATACCCATAATCATTTTTGTTGCCCTTCTCTGTACCTTGTCCAATTCTAATATATATATATTTTGAGTTGGGGCAACTAGAACTGATGCAGTGGTCAAGGTCTGGGTGCATCATGGATTTATACAGTGACATTATGATATTTTCTGCCTTATCTGTCTCTTTCCTAATGGTTCCTAACATTGTTAGTTTTTTGACTGCTGCTGCTCATTGAATGCATGTTTTCAGAGAACTATCCATGATGACTCCAAGATCTCTTTCTTGAGTGGTAACAGCTAATTTAGTCCCCATCATATTGTATGTATAGCTGGCATTATGTTTTCCAATGTGCAGGACTTTGCACATCAACATTGAATTTCATCTGCCATTTTGTTGCCTAATCGACTAGTTTTGAGATATCTCTTTGCAGTCAGCTTTGGCCTTAACTATCTTGAGTAATTTTGTCTCATCTGCAAACTTTGACACCTCACTGTTTACCCCTTTTTGCAGATAATTTTTGAATATGTTGAACAGCTCTGGTCCCAGTACAGATCCTTGGGGGACCCTGCTATTTACCTCTCTCAACTGTGAAAACTGACCATTTATTCTTACCCTTTGTTTACTATCTTTTAACCAGTTACTGATCCATGAGTGGACTTTCCCCGGATCCCATGACTGCCTACTTTGCTTAAGAGCCTTTGGTGAGGGACCTTGTCAAAGGCTTTCTGAAAGTCCAAGTACACTATGTCCACTGGATCACCCTTCTCCATATGTTGTTGACCCCTCAAAGAATTCTAATAGAGCGGTGAGGCATGATTTCCCTTTACAAAAGCTGTGTTGACTCTTCCCCAACATACTGTGTTCATTTATGTGTCTGATAATTCTGTTTTTTATTATAGTTTCAACCAGTTTGCCTGGTACTGAAATTAGGTTTACCAGCCTGTTATTGTCAGGATTACCTCTGGATCCTTTTTAAAAAATCAGCATTACAAGCTATCCTTCAGTCATCTCTGGTACTGAGGCTAATTTAAGCAATAGGTTACATACCACAGTTAGTAGTTCTGCAATTTCATATTTGAGATCCTTCAGAACTCCTGTGTGAATCCCACCTGGTCCTGGTCACTTATTACTGTTTAATTTATCAATTTGTTCCAAAACCTCCTGTGCTGACACCTCAGTCTGGGACAGTTCCTCAGATTTGTCACCTAAAATGAATGGTTCAGGGGTGGAATCTCTCTCACATCCTCTGTAGTGAAGACCGATGCATAGAATTCATTTAGCTTTTCTTCAATGGCCTTGTCTTCCTTGAGTGTTCCCTGACTTCTCACCTCTCCCAGGATATGGTAGCCCATGCGGGAGAATAAAGGGACCCTTTTGTGCTCTTATTCCTCTGTGTGGAAGTGTAACCAGGGTCAAATCTTAGCCATTAGCATTGTGAGGGTGATTCAGACTGTATGCTCATTCAGTATTTAGCCTTGCTGCCGAGATTCCCACCAAATGTGCCAATTCTGATGGTGAATTGCATCTGTAACTGGATTGACACCACCTGCTCTTTTCACACTGGCTACTGAATACAGCAATCAAATGGCAGGGACTTTCAATTACAATCACATTAGGCTAGAATTAAATTGATGGCATGGGGTGAAAGACTTCATGTCCCATTACTGATCTTTTGAGCTACCCCCATGATAGCCTGATATCAATTTGTTCAGTCTAGCCATAAACCTGCACACAGTGTGCAGTGGCTACACAGAAGAACCTGTATTAGTGACAGACATCTTCTCCATATCTTGACACTTTGATCTGGTTTTCATTTTCTCCCTACTCCTGCTATTACAAAGTGTTAGTCAAAGGAAGAAATAAGGAGGACTGTGATAATTCTTTTCTTTCCTGAAAGAGCATTTTTGCAGTCCTCTCATAGATCAGCTTTTGGTGACTAGTCAATCAAACTGTATTTCTGGGCAGTTTCTTTTCCCAAAAGGTCTATCTACAGCATAACAGTATGAAGCCTGTTTCACTGACAGATTTGTAAGAGGCTGTGATTTCAATGAGCTAAGGGCTTGTACACACTACAACTTATGTTGGTGTAACTTATGTCACTCAGGGGTGTGAATAAGCCACCTCCTGAGAGATGTAAGTTACACCGAACTAACTGCAGGTGTGGACAGTGTTATGTTGGTGGAGTGCTTCTCCCACGACATAGCTATCACCTCTCGGGGAGGTGGTTTTATTATGCTGCCGGGAGAGCTCTCTCCTGTCAGCATAGAGCATCTACACCACACATGCTACAGCGGCGCGGCTGCACTGATGAAGCTGTGCTACTGTAGCACTTCAAGTATAGACTAGTCTTAAGTCTCTTTCCAAAGTTGTTACTCACCTTGCTCAGATGTAGAGGACCTCCTGGATTTATTAAAGACTCTGGTGTATTTATACTCCACGATGAAATTGAAGATTTATTTCTAAATAAGGGCTCTTGCATCAACTACTGTAAAGATACCAGTGGCAGCTATCAAAGCTGTGAAAGGTAAAATTTATGCATTCTCCTACCTTGGGATGTCAACTCAGATATTTGTATCTTTCCATGTAAATCCCTGGTACATTTCTTCATTCAACATTGATGGTAACCCCACCTTTACTGGGCATCTTTTCCATTGACAGATATGGAAAATAGAAAATAAGTCGTACCTATCAGTGGTCTTCTTCCCTTTTTTTTTTTTTGGTTAAGAGAGGGGAATTTTACTCAGAATCCCATCTTTTTTACCTAATTTGTCTTCTGAATTTTACCTCAACCAGTGTAGTCTTAAAAGGAACTGCCTAATGACCATAAAACCCTATCGTACTGTACAACATATGTTTATTAGGCATACAACCTGTATACATTCTTTTCATGCTATTTAGGCTATAGTATGCACAAAAATACTCCATTTGTGGTGCCACACTGCATGCTCTTAGAAACTATTAGAAGCCTTTGGAATTCCCATGACTGTTTATTCATTCTTTTGTTTAGGAGTCAGTGACCTGCAAGCGCTCATTATGAAGAGAGATCTGTTTTTTCTGGTGACTCTAATGAGCCTTGCCTTCCTGTCACTGTTAAGATCTGGATATCCTCAACATATTGCAGAAGAGTCCTGCTCTGTTCAGATTCTTGTTCCAGGCCTCAAAGGTAATGTTTGAGTCTCTCCCTCTGCCTAAATATTAATCCCTTTTTTCTTACAGGTTTATTTGAACCAATTTCAAGTCATATGCAATTTCTAGCAGGGACTAACATCTCTACAAGGTGCCTTACAATTGCCCTTTCCATAGTAGGATTTGAAATAATTTTCCAAACATGGCCAAGCACAGTTTGTAACATGATGTGTGTCCATTAAAACAACATGGTTACAAACTGCAGGCCTGACTCTGCAAAGCCCACTCATGAAGAGTAGCCCTGGTTACTCAGATGGGTTTTCCTGATGACTTCAGTGGGTTTATGCTCATGAGTAGTACTCAACGTACATAAAGGTTGCAAAATCTGGCTCTGTGTTCTGACTGTCTAGAAAACGTTTTGTAAGCCTTTATTGCCCCTTTGAGAGGGACTACTTGGAAGTAATCAATAACTATATTTGCTAAACTGAAGTACACCTTTCTTTGTGGCAAACTCTGAGATTGCTGAGCACCTTCAACTTCCATTGACTTAAATGCTCCGTGCCTCTCAGAGTTTGGCCAGGTATGAGTATGAAAATAAAGCTGCTTACTATTTGCTCTACATTTTGGCCAAGAATATTGCCTGATACAGATGGTAAGACAAAATATTGGTCTCTTCATGTAAAGGAATACCTTGGCATCCGTAATTTAAATAGCACAGCACATCTAAATTAATTATTGTTCTGAAACAATAGCATGGGTTGCCAATATTATACATAATGATCTGAATTAAGGGTGTGTGCAAAATCTTGGCCCTATTGAAGTCAATAGCAAAACTCCCATTGACTTCAATAGGGCCAGGATTTTGCCTGAGATGTATATAAGGATGTTATATGTGCCATTTCCAATAAGTGTGTATGGCAAGAGACTCAGTGAGCTACAGACTAGGAACAATTAACATATCATCAGCTGACAAACTTGCATTGTTTAAAAACTATACAATTTATCTACATATGAAACCTTACAGTTTTTCTTGTGGTTGTGCCTCTATTGTCAGATCATGTCACTCATTTAAGATAGGTGCCACCAGTGTTAAGCCCAGTAATAAAACTCTTATTTTTACTGCACAACTGAGAAATGCTTTACCTCATGAGTTTTTAGATCACTGACCTGAGAAAAAAGGTAGAGTTTTCTTTTCATAGGCTGGTCCCTGAACTCTTAACCATGTTAACACCTGAGGTGGGGATGAAAAGTAGAGCAGTGTTAGTTTGATGCATTCAGACAATCCATGGTTTGACTGAGCCTTAATTATTTCCATTCATCTGCTGTCTTTAGTATGGATGTCACACAAATAACAGCATTATCAAATTTATTATTGCATAACCTAGTGCAGGGGTCGGCAACCTTTCAGAAGTGGTGGGCCGAGTCTTCATTTATTCACTCTAATTTAAGGTTTCGCGTGCCAGTAATACATTTTAACGTTTTTAGAGGGTCTCGTTCTATACGTCTATAATATATAACTAAACTATTGTTGTATGTAAAGTAAATAAGGTTTTAAAAATGTTTAAGAAGCTTCATTTAAAATTAAATTAAAATGCAGAGGCCCCTGGAGCTGTGGCCAGGACCTGGGCAGTGGGAGTGCCACTGAAAATCAGCTCGCGTGCCGCCTTTGGCACGTGTGCCATAGGTTGCCTACCCCTGACCTAGTGATAGAGACGAATGATCAAGTGGTCAGAACGCAGCATGGGGAATGAGGAACTTTAATCCTGGTTCTGTTGTTGACTTTCTCTGTGTCCGTGGGCCAGTCCCTTAGCCTTTCTCCTTTCATTTCCCCATTTGTATAATCAGGATAATTCTATATACACACATTCATCACCTCACAGTAATTTTGGGAGGATTAGTTAGTTAATGCTTATAAAGCACTTAGTGCCATCTAAATGCTAAAATTGCTATTATTACAATGTAGAACTTTCCCAGCAATAATTCTGGCCTCTTTTTTTTAGTAAGGTAATCAGGAATCGAGCCATAAAACAGTGAGGAAGCCTGAAAACCAGAATGCTTTAGTGCTTTCACTCCACCTAATTAGAAACAGCCATTGACATGGTGAGGGTGATTGATGTACAATTTCAGTGAGGCACATAATGGCCTGCTAAGCTTAATGTAAAATCACTAAAAAGCCACCAATGCCTAAACTAAACTGTCGAGGGACTGACTGTCAAAGAGGAGTGGTAGTGATATACAGAGCCTTTCATCTGTTGGCTCAAATCCAGCCCATGTCAGGAATGACCAAGATTTCCGCTAAACTGAGTATATGTATGGCCATATGCCCAAAACTCAGCTCCTGTGCAGAGCTGAATGCTTCTCACAAGCAACACTTAAATATGCAATAGCTCCTCCGCTGCTGAGTTGCCACTGATATCTGTGGCCACAGTGGAGCAAAGCATCTCATAATGGAGCCCAACACAGCCAGCTGGGCTCTGACTACCTTAGAAGGATGTCCCAGAAGATCTCCCATCCCTGTTCCTTACTGGGAGCTTATACTTGGAACGTGTCTGTAGTAGGCGTTGGGGAGAATGGGGGAAGAAGAGAGGTTATGGGGAACAGAGGAAAGAGATGTTGGGGACCCTGGGAAGTGTGGGAATTGGGATACCCTGGAAAGGGAAAGAGATTTCTCGGAGGGGTAGAAGAAAAAGATAATAAGGGAGACTTAGGAATGGACAGAGATAAGGAAAGAGAGAGGACCCAAAGAAAAGAACAATGGAGAGAAAATGGGAAGAAGAAAATGGAATATAGAGAAGGAAGGAAACTTGGAATGGAAATAAGACTGGAAAAAGAAAAAGAAGGGAATAAGAAATAAAAAATAAAAAAGCCACACACCGATTTACGCATTCATGTCCTTACATCTTAGGTGTTTTTTAAAAAAATATAAACCTAATGAAATAGACGAGATGATTTATCCTTTGACCTAGATGGGATTGGGAAGAGGAAGGGTACTGTGGTTCTGGGAGTCCACATGGCACAATGATGCATGCTTTAGAAATTCAGAAGTATAAGATTAATAATTAGAAAAGCATGATGGTACATGAGAGAAGAGATGGAGGATTAAGACCAACTACATTGCTCATTCAAACCTCTCATAAAACACTAGTACTTCTGCCAGGCCCATAAGAAGTGAGTTTATTATTGTTATGGAGAAGAAATTATATATATATATATATATATATATATAT